CCCACCATCTCCCTACCTTGCCTGCCCCCCACCACAGCTCTCTGACTTGCAGCCTAGTGACAAAAGTGTGAGCTACCTAGTGTTTGGAGCATAAAGCCATTTCTCTGGTGGGCTTTATCCTGGGGATGGCTCTGTCCACACTAATAAGAGCCGACAATAGTAATAGCATACAAAATGGTGGGGATGTGAGCATCAAAGCAAAGAACAGTATTCGGCTTGCAACAAGGTCACTTGCTTTAGTGTGGGGCTGAGTAGGAAGGAGGATCTCAGACCACAGGTTTTTTAACTGATCGAGAAACCAGAAAGCAGTGCTTTTTCAAAAAATTGCTTTATGGCAGAACTAGGTAAAATGAGAGTTTGAAAAATGAAATAGAAGAAAATAATCAAAAGTCAAAGTTTTTTCCTTAAGTCTGAGACACCACAGGAACAGAAGAGCCTGATTAAAACGAGCCATTTTACCAGATACATATGTTATATTATTAATTCCAGTGCAGTGTTCAAAAATGGAGAGAAAAAGATTTCAAAAGAGCACTCTTAAAAGTAGTGTGAGCTTGGTGTCCTAGGTAGTGTTACCCATAAAGGGAAGAGCAGATAAGCAAATTCAATTTGGAAAATAATGACCCATACTATGAACTGGGACCCATGTGACAAGCTGCTGATACAAAATATAGCAGAAGTCTGTGTCATAAAGGCTTATGCAATTGGAACCTTTCAAAATGATAGAGTACCTGCTGTTTTGTTTTGTTGGCTTTTTTCTTCTAGTCTGTAAGCCTCACTGGACAATAACATAAAACAAGGAGTCTGTTAAGGAAAAAAATATTTTAAAGTAGATGTAACAGCTGTCGAGGCTAGATGTGAGAAGATGAAAGCATAATGACTGTGGAAGTAGTGAAGGGTGAGGTGTGTGCAGAAATTGAGTATATAAGGAGTCTCCCTGATTGGCACTTCATTAATTGCAGTAGGAAGATCCTCTGGTAATTCACACAGAGGCTAGACTAAAGGTTTCTTGACATTATTCAGTTCACTGTAAGCCATTTGTGGTCCTGATGATGAATACATGTGAAGTTAGCTAAGTAAATCAATTCAGAAGATGCTTGGAAAATGCACAGGTGGACCAAGTGACAATGAAACTGATGACCTATAATATACTGTGATGTATTTTGCTGAGGCACAAATTTGAATCATGGGATCTATAAAGCTGGAGAGCCCAGAGAGTTATTTGGCAGATTTTTGTTGTTGTTAATATATCTTTAAATAAATAGTATCTCTTGCCTTTACATAAAAATCAAGATTTTCTTTCACCCCAGGAAAACATCTGGATGGTAATTGCCTGCGTTTAGAGAATAAATTTAGAATGATGGAATGTCACTTTGGGATCCTTTGGGGGTAGTTCAAAGGGATAAATTGTTATCCTCCAGATTAGTTAAAACTGAGGACAGATTTTGCACCAAATTATAAGAGTATGCTTGTGTTTGTCTGACTTAAAATGTTGGCTCTCTAGTCAACACGAAATGAATTTCATGGAACAAGAAGCAGTAAAACATAGGTATCTGTCCTCCAGAGGAGCTGCAGTAGGAGCCCAACTGGAAGGCATGGCATGTCTGCTGTGAGTCTCACGTTGAGAGTCACAAAGGCAGATGCAGGTTTAATTTGCTTGTTGCTTCTTACATGAGCAGGTTCTAGTAAGCGTGCTCCAATGTTTACCAGCTGCAAGTGGTTCATTACTAAACAGGGATTAATAATTTGTGAAAACAATTGTAGGTAGGTCATCTTTGAGAGTTGGTAAAAATGCTTAGTCCTTTATTAGAAATGGTTCAGAAAATAAAAGACAGCATTTAGTTTTGCTGGTGGTTGTGAAAGAAGGTAAGATAAAGAGTGTACTATTGAATGCAGTAGTAGCTCACCTCAGGGATGTGATGAATTGCATTAACAGTGATATTAGAAATAAGAAAATAAGAAAAAAAGGGTGTTATTTGTTAACTGAGAGAACTTTCTGTAGTCTTAAACTGTGATCATTTAGCACATCAAGGGGAATTCATAGTGTAAACAAGACTTGAAAGGGAAATTTTCAGCTACTTTTGGGATCTAATGGGTTTCAGGTACACTGAGTCATCAGAGTTCACAGATTCGATCTTTGCCAGTTAGTCCCTCACCTAGCATTCCAGTCTGGAACCCTGAGCTAGCTATTTAATATATCTGAGCCTCAATGCTTCATCAGAAATATAGGGTTCAAAACACATACACCTTATAAGGGTGCTCACAGTATTAAAAGGAAAATAATATCCAAGAAACTTTTTTGATCTCTAGACTACCATAAAAAATAACAAACTATGATTATTTCATGATGAATCCATATGCTAATTTCTAACTCTTCCTATCTGTTCCCCCAAACAAATTTCTTAACAAACAAATTTCTTAACAATGTCTACTGGGTCATTTTCAATTAGCTTAGTCCTAGTTATTCTTTGTTAGTCAATGCCAATATACTGCTTTGATGAACAAAACTATATAATTCACACCACTGTCTGGCTTTTCCCTCAATTAGCCCTAACAGAATTGATTATGTCCATTGAAAGAGAGTGTCACATTTCTTCGTCACCTGTTCTTTGTCTATTTTCTGCCATCTCAGCTAATTCCCGAAAAATAAAATATGTTTTAGATTTCTTTTCATCTCTTATACTTTGTGGTAGGTAAAAATAATAGCTTCCCAAAGATGCCCCTGGCTTAATCCCTGGAAGCTGTGAATATGTTACTTTACGTGGCAAAAGGAGCTTTGTGGATGTGATTAAGAAACTTGAGATGTGAGAATATCTTGGGTTATGCCAGTGAGTTCATTGTAACTACAGGGGCCTTGTAATAGGGAGGCAGTAGAGTCAGAATCAGAGAAGCAAGGTGACAACAGAAGCAGAGGTTGGAGTGATGTGGAGCCATGAGCCAAGGAATGTGGGCAGCCTCTAGAAGCTAGAAAAGTCAAGGAAATGGATTTGCCCCAGAGCCTCCAGAAGGAATGCATCTCTGCTGATCCATTTTAGACTTCCGTCCTCCAGAACTCTAAGTGAATCAATTGGTGTACTTTAAGCCACTAAATTTGTGGTAGTTTATCACAGCAGCAATAGGAAACCAACACAGCTATTTTTATTATTTTTATTATTTTTTTTTATTTTTTGCGGTACGCGGGCCTCTCACTGTTGTGGCCTCTCCCTTTGCGGAGCACAGGCTCCGGACGCACAGGCTCAGTGGCCATGGCTCACGGGCCTAGCCGCTCCGCGGCATGTGGGATCCTCCCGGACCGGGGCACGAACCCGTGTCCCCTGCATCGGCAGGCGGACTCTCAACCACTGCGCCACCAGGGAAGCCCATGAGTAATTTTTTATTTGTTGGTGGAGGGGTGTTAGTATTGGTGATATAGGTTTTATAACTGAGTCAGGAAACCAAAAACAAAGAAAATGTCAGTCAGCCAAACCAAGAGCTGCTATCAGGGCTTCTCTATGTCTCACATAGGTTATAACAATAACCAGGAACTTGGCAATTTAGAGACTCAAAGAACCTCAAAACTAATCAAAGCAATACTGAAATAGTTGCTAGAATATTTATCAGCTGAGAAATTTAGGGAAGGACATAAATGGTGTGTAAATATTGTGAACTCTAAGTTATTCAAATCTTCGTTATTTTTTTTTCCCACTCTATACAGCTTCCATTTATACCAGGCCAGCCATATCCCATTTAACTCTTCCAGCAACTCTGGAAGCCTATATGGTTAATATCCTCCATCCTAATGGGGAAATTGGGGCTGAGACAGAACAATTTATGTAACTCAGCCACTCAGCTCATAAGTATTAAGTCCCCACGGAGCCCTAATTACAACAAGTTGCAAATGTAATTTTTAAATGTCAGTCATTTCCTTGTCTTCACAAAGAAAAGGTACTCTTATTTATCTTTTGTGTCCCCAGCACCTAGCCCAGTGACTGCTACGTATGATACACTTAATTTGCTGATGGAATAAATAGATGACATAGCTATTCTGTGGCTAACTCTTAGGTTGAAGAGTGCACAATTCATCAGGTTTGGACCCCCGCTACAGTATCTCATCTAGTAAGTTCAAACAACACTTTGCCCTGTACTCCATGATACCTATGGAAATATAAAAAGACCTTTGTTGAGATTATTTTTTAAATAAATCACTTAATATATAGTAAAATGTGTAGCTATTTAGCTTAAAATGGGTTTCTGGATTAGTCAGAAGTCACTATTAGGTTAAATAATACAATAACAATGACTCCAAGAAGAAAACAAAGCAATAGAGTTTCTTTAACAATGTGGTAAGAAATTCACTGGAGTTAAATGTTTAATCAAAAACATTCAATAAAAGTAGAATTGCTCCTGAAAGCCAGGCTGCATTTTTGGTGAATTAACTAGACAGATTCTACAAACATTTGTCTAAGCCATTATCTGGAAAATCACTTTCAACGCTAATATGATGAAAATATATTATCCACGCTAATAACAATGTCCCATCTGTTTAAACACTTTACAACCTACTGAAAGCCATACCTGCAGAAGGCCTTATGGCTCTGAATTTAAAAACAGTTGCAAGTTGAATGCATGTGGCAGAATTACCTGGTAAACAGGCCCTATGAGCTTCCTGTTAAAAGGGCTTCTTTGGTACTGTGAACGAACCTTTCAAAATAAACTACCAGAACCGGCCATGGGCACATTGTACAGGGCCACGGATTATCTCTAACCAGTGATAAGTGACTGCTCAGTTCTAAGATATTTTATTTTATTTTATTTTATTTCTGGCTGTACCACGTAGTGTGTGGGATCTTAGTCCCTGACCAGGGATCAAACCCATGCCCCCTGCAGTGGAAGCATGGACCCCTAACCAGTGGACTGACAGGGAATTCCCTCTAAGATATTTTATTGTAACTGCTTCTTCAAGACTGAAAGGTATCTGATATGAAAACCCAAAAGATAAGCAAAGAGTACAACCCCAAATAAAGTCTGTTTATAAGCCATGAGTGTTTAATGCTCAACAAATTTAGAACATTTATTACCCATCCAGTTATCAAGGAATATAAAAAATTTGAAGGTGTAAAGCCCATTATTTCAGATTTAAATCACTTTAAGCAAGAAGGTAAGCATTTCTTCCCTCAATGAGAACAGAGTACAGTACAGTAATATTTCAGTTTGGTAGCAAACTGGGAGCAAACCAACCCAGAAATATCCAAGGGATACATTAACCAAATGATTAAGAACATTAATACAATTCAAAATAGTGAAATAGCCCTACAATATGAAAAACACTATTCCCTTTCATAGGGAGAATGTGGGTCAATGTGTGAATACTGGATACTAACATATGTAGTTGGATTTTCACAATAAAGTTTTCAATTTACAAAGCATGTTGTATATGTTAATGAATTTTTATAACAACTCTGTGTGGTAGGTAAGTTTAGAACCAGCTTCATTTTCCAGATGAGAAAGCAAAGACTTATAATGACTTAGTTATTGTCCAAAGTCACAAAAATTTTAAGAGCTACAGTAGAAAATTTTGGTCTAAGGCTAGTGTACATTTCTCAGTCTTTGCCCCTTCTTCAACATCTCAACCAGTCCTGCTGTATTTATCAGTAGAGATTTTAAAGGGGTTACCTACAAATGATACTCCAACAAAGAATAAAGGTCTTAATAGGCTGCAAATTCTAGAAACATTAAATATATCAAATTCAAAAATATTATAGTACCCTTTTGGATATACTAAAAAGGTACTATGTTAGATGGCAGTGTTCCTCATGGTAGACTCAAACTGAGGCCTGAGTAATTCTTCAAAGCCAGCTAAAAGAAAGCAGTAGGAGGGTGATACACCAGACTGTTTAAACAGTATCCAGTTCACTAAATACATGGATATAAATGCAATAACTTTTGATGATATGAATGTACAATCAAACATACCTGAGCAAAAATTCTGGTAAAATATTATCTCTCCAAAATACTGAAAAACAGGAAAAGTGAAAAATAAAAGATATTTTAGAGTGAGGAAAGAATAATTTGATTGTAGCAAGAGGAATACTAGTGAATTCCTAGCGCTCAAGGGGAAGCTCTAAGCATTGATCCAAAAGCATCTAATTATGTCCAGAAAGGTGAGTTTTCTCCACAGTATTGAATGTGATGAATTAGACAGGAGAGAATTGTTGCAGGAAATAAAAGGCCCAGCTCTAGTTTACCATCCAAAGACCTTTATAAGCCTACCTTGTATCAAATTTTCAGTAGAAATTTTGGGACAGATGATAATATCTCTAAATGCAGTTCTAAGAGCTGAAAAATCTCAGTGTTTAACCTAGGGAGATTCTGACTAATTTAGTGTGCTTATCCCAACTTTACTGGATTCATACTTTAGGAAACTGCAGCTGATTTATCTCAGACAAAGCATTGCCCCAAGGAGAACATTTAAAATGTAATTCTTATTTTTTTTATTGTTTGCTTGATTAATTTTTTATTTTGTCAATTGTTTGTATTTTCATGGAATGAAATATGTTTTTAGAAAAGGAATATCCAAAGTACAGCCTTCTGTCATTAGGAAATATGGCTAGCATATGACCTGGAAAAGCTGGGTCATTAGTTGGAGGACACCTGTATTTTTAAGGCCACAGTGAACCTTTCTTTCAGCATGAATTATAGAAGTACAGAGAAAGGAATAAAATGGTATGATCTGACCCAAAATGTTAAGAAGAGTTTTATGGAAGAGATGAGAGTTAAGAAGAACTTTGAAGAATGAATAGGATTTGGGTACATGGAGAGGAATTAGGAAGTTTTTCCAGGCAGGGAGAAAATGAATAACGCCTTTTAGTCAGAAAGGAGCACAATCCAGAACTATGAGAAAACCAGTCAGTCTGAAATAATGAATTATTTTTTCTTTTCATTTATTCAATAAATATTTGTTGAGTAATTACTGTATTTCTAGCAGCATACTGGGTAAGAGAGAAACAAGATAAATAATGCATAGTTTTACTCTCAATAATCTCATTGTCTAGCTAGAGAAACTCTATTAGTAAGAAATTATGTTCAGCTCCTTGAAAAAACAATATGACTGTTGTGGTTTAGTCAGAGATTCCCAACAGGCATGCTACACAGTACATTATTGTTTTGCCGATGTGTTATAGGTGTGACAAGATAAGGTACTTCTACTTGAGAGCAAAAAGAGCATTCTGAATATTCAACTTTGTCTGAGTTGCCTTTTCCTTGTAAGTATCAAATATTATCATTTTCTATATATTTTGTGATGTGAAAAAAATACTGGGAAACAGTGGCTTTACCAAACAGGTTGATATTTTATCATATTTTTTAAAAATCCATAGTACACAGCTAAGCATGGTACTGGAAGTTCCATTACATCATTATAGCTTCTTTTTATGTTTTTGTTTCATCATCCTTCACATATGGCTTTTATTTTCACGGTTGCCACAGACCTCCAAAATGGCTGCTCCATGTCTATCCTCTCATCTGTATTCCAGTTATAAAGAAGGAAGTTATACCTACATTAGGAAAACAAGTTATACCTACATTAGGAAAACAAAACTTATTCAGAAATAACCAACAATGTTCCAGTTATTCTCTTAATCAGAACTGTGTCATGTGGGTAGCCTTGGCTGTAAGAGTCTGTGGAATATAGGTTTTTAGCTGGTTATAGGCTATTCAAAAGAAAAAGTTCTTTTAGTCAAAACAAAGTGGGGTCTGTTGGGTCTGCTCCAGAGAAATACATAAGCAAATAATTTTACTGTAATGTATCAACTTAAGCAATGTATAGAAAGTCTTGGGAAAAAAGTTAAAGGGTACATTAATTCTGCCTGAAGAGGTAATCAGTGTTTTACAAATGGCAGGAAAATTGAACAGTCTTGAGTCTAAGGGATTAACTTAGTGTAAACCCAAATTAAGACAGAACAAAAATCCTGAGGAGGCAACGTATGTATCTGGAAATTTGAGTTCGATAGCCAAAAAGTCAAAGACATCTGCTAATCTCTGCTTTTTTGAGGCCTAGAAACTTGCACCAGCACAAGGATCTGCTCTTTGTGGCTCTTTGTGTTTTTGGATCTGCTCTTTGTGGCTAGGGAGCCAGTGTTAGAAGAAAGATTCTACAAAAAGGATCAATGGCAGACCCCAAAAAGGGTAGTGAAGCACTTCCATTAGGCTGGATACTATAAAAACAAACAAAACAAACATCAAGTGCTGGTGAGGATGTGGAGAAATTGGAACCCTCATTCAGCGTTGGTGGAAATGTAACATGGTGTAGATGCTGTGAAAACAATATGGTGTTTCTTCAAAAGATTAAAAATAAGTTACTCGGCTTCCCTGGTGGCGCAGTTCGCCTGCCGATGCAGGGGACACGGGTTCGTGCCCCGGTCCAGGAAGATCCCACGTGCCGCGGAGCGGCTGGGCCCGTGAGCCATGGCTGCTGAGCCTGCGCATCCGGAGCCTGTGCTCCACAACGAGAGAGGCCACAACAGTGAGAGGCCCGCGTACCGCAAAAAAAGAAAAACAGAAAAAAAAAAAAAAAAGTTACTATGTGATATAGCAATTCCACTTCTGGTTATACATCCAAAGGAATTGAAAGTAGGGTCTCAAAGAGACATTTGTATACCCATGTTTTTATCAACATTATTCACAATGGACAAAAGATGTAAAAAACCTAAGTTGAATAACAGATAAATAGATAAACAAAATGGAATGTTATTCAGCCTTAGAAAGGAAGGAAATTCAGATACATGCTACAACATGAATGAAACTTGAGGACACTATGCTAAATGGAATGTCAGTCACAAAAAGAGAAATATTGATAATTCCACTTATCCAGGGTACCTGGAATAGTCAAATTTATAAGGACAGAAACTAGAATGGTGGTTGGCCAGGGGATGGGGGGAGAGTGAAATGGGAAATTGTTGTTTAATGGGTACAGAGATTTAGTTTTGCAAGGTGAAAAGAGTTTTGAAGGTTGGTTGCACAGCAATATGGATGTACTCAACACTATTGAACTGTACACTTCAAAAATGATTAATATGGTAAAAATAAAAAAGTAATTTAAAGTTGAATGTTTCGCATGGTAATAGACTTCCATTTTTCTGTAGTTTTGCTTTCCTAGGATTTTTGTAGTCGTGTACGTCTAGCCATGATTTTAAAATATCACTCTTTTCTAACAGCACTCTTCTATGTATTTTTCAAAGATTAGCATTATAAAAAAATGTCCTAGAACGGTAGGGGCTGGGGGAGGAAGCAGCGGCAGATGTTGCTTGATGTTCTACCTTGCCTATCATTTTTAAAGCCATAGTGAAAATACTGTTCACACAGTGAGGTGTTATTTTGGAATGGAGGCTATTATTCTAGAGATTGATTCAAAACGTGCCTGGTGGTCAGAAGTGACAAGCACCAGAAGGAGAAGTGAATTGTCTTTACAGAGGTACATTTTTTTTATGGGAAGAATGTGGGTAGAAAGGAGGATGGAAGAACAGTGTTCCTAGCAGAGGTGAGAGAAGATGGCATTTCAGAACATGAACACAGGGCAATATGAAGAGTTCTTAAGGTACATGAGAAACGATTATTAAAAATAAGACTAGAAAGGTAGGCAGAGATGGCGACTGCTCACTATTTGCCAACCAGTTACGTGTATCATCTCAATGAATCCTTACAACTCTCCCATGAAACAAGTGTTACTAATGATTCCTTTTTATAGATGAACAAAGTAAAATTTGGGGATGTAAAAGTAACAGTTACTATGATAAAAATGATTTGCCTCAGGCAGCATGGGATTGATCTGCCTGGTCCATGAAAGTACTGTCTTTTAGGAAAAAGACAATTCAATTTAGCCAACTGATAATATGCATTTATTGGGTGCAAGATAGTCTAAATAATCCTTTACATTGTATATAGCAGTTACCATGCATGAAGAAATTTCCAGCACTAGAAGACAGATAGGTAGGTGGAATTCTTCCCAACGTGGAGGGTCCCATTTAGAGAGTTTGAGTTATCACAGAGCTATGAGTGCTGGAGATATAACTTGAATCTAGGCCCTCTATATTTTTCTACTAAACCTCACTGCCCCATTTCTCTATTTTTTTTTTCATGTTCATCACCTCTTTACACCAGCCAGAGGTTATGACACATCGTTTGGCCTATTAGCAGTCTTTTCAAAGGCTTTGGTGGTAGATCCTAACTTGAAGATAAAAACTAAAGCCCAAAATGCTTTGCGTGGTGATTTCTGTTGTTAATTGCTACTTTTAGTCCAACTAAATGCTCATCCAAAGCAAATGTATAACTTCCATTTTATTTCAGAAATACCTTTAACTTTACCTTAAAATTCTTCTACGATTCCTGCTCTGTGAAACATATTTTTTTTAATTATACAGGAAATTACCAAAAGGCTTTACTGGAACTCTGATGATATATATAAAGAACTATTGATCCAAGTTTAATAAAAGAAATGATTAATATAGAGGAATGAAGAAAGTAGTGACATAGGATAATTCATGGATAATTTTAATTTGTTTATAAATTAAATTATTTTAAAGAGGAGGAAGCATTATTGAGAATTAATGGTAAATGCAAATTATAAAAAATATTAAAATATTTATATTAAATCACTTAAATCCATCCATAATTGTCTGGCTTTAATTAAGCACTTACTGTATACCAAGTAATGACATAAGCACTTTCTATCCCCAAGCCTGGCTACCAAATTGGAGTTGAAATGGTCACAGAGGGCATACCAGGCATGACAGAAAGCAAAGCAGAGGAGCCAATCAGTGTTAAGGGGGTAGGGGTGAGCCCTTCAGCCCCAGGTGCCATGTGACTCTGAGAATACCTAAAACCAAGCATAAGCCTCCCTCACCTCTACTCCAAGGAAGCATAGGCAAAGGAGTCCCTGGGGCAATCAGAAATGGAACAATCTGCATTTTAAAAAGTTAAAGCAAGGGAAAATTGTATTGTGGATGAGAAGGAAGAAGAAGAGGAAGGGAAAGGAAGATAGAACTGTAACGCCAAATGTCACAGAGATCGTGTGGAGAGAGGCAGGAATACAGTGATTTCATTTACCAGTTAGAAAGTCCTCCTTGATTGTATTGGGAGCCTATTTTAATAGAACAGTGTGGCTAAAAGCTGAATTGCAATAGGTGAAGAACAAGCAGAGGAAGAGGAAGTGGAATTGATATGAACCCCTCTTCAAGAAGTTTTTGTTGAGAGAGAGAGAGGAGATAATTTGTGAGGATTTCTACTAATTATGGATGGCCTTTATCTTTTTCATACCATAGGGGCAAAGTTATCTGTTGAGAGTAAGGATCATGGAAGTGGGGCATAGAAGTCGGAGAATGGTTGAGAACTGAAGGGAGGACATGAGCTATGATTTAAAAGGTAAGTAAAATTTACATCAAGATGACAAGAGAATTACTCTGTGTTTATTTCCAATGAGGTATCACCTCACACCAGTCAGAATGGCCATCATCAAAAAATCTGCAAATGATAAATGCTGGAGAGGGTGTGGAGAAAAGGGAACCCTCTTGCACTGTTGGTGGGAATATAAATTGATACAGCCACTATGGAGAACAGTATGAAGGTTCCTTAAAAAACTAAAAATAGAACTAGCATACAACCGAGCAATCCCACTACTGGACATATACCCTGAGAAAACCATAATTCAAAAAGAGACATGTACCACAATGTTCATTGCAACACTATTTACAATAGTCAGGACATGGAAGCAACCTAAGTGTCCATCGACAGATGAATGGATAAAGAAGATGTGGCACACATATACAATGGAATATTACTCAGCCATGAAAAGAAATGAAACTGAGTTATTTGTAGTAAGGTGAATGGACCTAGAGTCTGTCATACAGAGTGAAGTAAGTCAGAAAGAGAAAAACAAATACTGTATGCTAACACATTTATATAGAATATTTAAAAAAATGGTTCTGAAGAACCTAGAGGCAGGACAGGAATAAAGGCACAGGTGTAGAGAATGCACTTGAGGACATGGGGAAGGGGAAGGGTAAGCTGGGACGAAGTGAGAGAGTGGCATGGACATATATACACTACCAAATGCAAAATAGATAGCTAGTGTGAAGCAGCTGCATAGCACAGGGTGATCAGCTCGGTGCTTTGTGACCGCCTGGAGGGGTGGGATAGGGAGGGTGGGAGGGAGACCCAAGAGGGAGGGGATATGGGGATATATGTATACATATAGCTGATTCACTTTGTTATACAGCAGAAACTAACACAACAATGTAAAGCAATTATACTCAAATAAAGATGTTAAAAAATAAATAAATAAAATAAAATGTGTGGGACCAGGGGGAAAAAAAAACTGAATATGTGGACTCAATGCCTATGCTGCAGTGTATTTTGATGTACTATTAGTGCACTCTGCCTAGAAGCAGGGAGTTGTTTGTTCCGTGTGCCACAGGATTCCAGTTCTATTAAAGCTGTATTATCTCCAGTGTTAATGCAAAAAGTATGTGATACACAATTCCCAGACACTGAGAGCACACTG